GCTGCTGGAAGCTTCCCCTGTGTCTGACAGAGCCGATGCCAGCTGGATCCAAGAAGGACCTGCAGCTGACCAAGGCTGAGCCCATCAGTGATGGTGGTATCTCCCCTGGGATAACATCTTTAAGAAGGGGACAAGTTGCTGCATGACAGCAGCTGCAGCCAGAGCAGAGGAGTGGGAATGTGTGAGAGCAACAGCTCTGCAGACACCCAGGTCAGTGAAGGAGGAGGGCAGGAGCTGCTCCAGGCACTGGAGCAGAGATTCCCCTGCAGCCTGTGTGCAGACCATGGTGAGGCAGGCTGTGCCCCTGCAGCCCATCGAGGTCCATGTGGAGCAGATTCCACCTGCAGCCCATGCAGGACCCCATGCCAGAGCAGGGGGATCCTTAAAGGAGGTTGTGACCTGTGGGAAGCCAGTGCTGGAGCAGCCCTTGGCAGGACCTGTGGTCCTGTGGAGGGGACCCATGCTGGAACAGTCTGTTCCTGAAGGATGCACCCCATGGAAGAGACCACGCTGGAGCAGTTCTGAAGAACTGCAGCCTGTGGGAAGGACTTATGAAGGAGAAGTTCATGGAGAGCTGTGTCCTGTGGGAGGGACCCCACTCTGGAGCAGGGGATGAGTGTGAGGAGTCCTCCCTGGAGGAGAGAAGAGCAACAGAGACAATCTGTGATGAACTGACCACATTCCCATTCCCTTGCGCTGCTGGTGGGGAGGAGGTAGAGAAAACCAGGAGTAAAGTTAAGCCCGAGCAGAAGAGTGGGGTAGAGGGAAGGTGTTTCAAGATTTGGTTTTATTCCTTATTACCCCATGCTGATTTGATGGGTCGAATGAACAAATCAAAGTCATTTTCTCCAAGCCGAGTCTGTTTTGCACATGACAGTAGCTCATGAGTGATCTCTCCCTGCCCTTATCCCAGCCCACGACGCTTACGTTCTGGTTTCTCTCGCCTGTTTAGCTCAGGAGGAGAGTGAGGAGAGCTTTGGTAGGCACCTGGCTTCTAGCCAGGGTCAACCCACCACAGAAACCAACCCCAAACTCATGCACTGACGATCCACCACGCTCCAGCCCTGTCCATCTGCAACGTGTCCCCAGCATGAGCCCACACAGTTAACCACAGGCTTCTTCCCTGCGAGAACACCCGGGCTGGAGCAGCCATGAGTGAGCCTTGAAATAAAGGAGAGTGGTGGGAGGGAAAAGTACATGGGCTTCTTAAGGATCTGGGAAGGCAAGTTGTTTCAGTTTCCCATATGGTGTCTGGGAAGTGGCTGAGCAATGCATCTCCTAAGCAGAGGGCCTGAAGAAGACCCTGATACCAGAGGAAGGGGTTGGGGGAGAAGTAATGAGTATTTGTTATTCTTTGCAAAGCTGGTCCAACAGGACCATTATGGACTTTCCTGAAGCAGGAAGGGGTTTCCTTCTAGAGCAGCAGTGGCTAGAGGGCTCACTTTTTCCAGGTTCATGATGCTGCCCATGCGATGGTTTCAATCACACCAGTCTTATTTCATTTATTGGCTTAAAACTGGTGTGAAGGACCAAAGAGGATGGGCAGAGGGGATCATTTACCTGAGGGGAAATGAGGAAGTGACAGCGGTAAGATGCAAAGAACATTCATTTCTGGGTTCATCCCTTCAATATATCTTCAGACTCAGCACAGACTTTCCATGGCAGGCCTCTCTGTCTCCATGTATTGCAGAAAGATGTAAGTGGGTAAGGGACCTCTGGAGATCTCTAGCTGAATGAATCCCCTTGGTTGCAGCAGAGCTGACTCCAAAGCTAGGTCAGGTTGCTCTGCTTACCCAGAACTGTTAACTGGCTTTATTCACCCAACACAGAGATCAGCAGCCTCCTCTCATGCTGCCATCTGCAGCCAGAGCTGTCTTCTTCAGGAGGCTGTGCTTCCGTGGTCCCCCAGCTTGCATCCCACCAGCACTGTCCTGGTAGGCTTGGCACTCCCCTCCATGGCCACAGCCTTCTGGAGGTGTGCTCATCACCCTGGGTCCAGGGCTCAACCTCCTGGTGATCACTGCCAAGGAGCGAGGGGACAGGGACCCAGATAAGACCTGGTGGGCAGCTCTACCTGCTCTCTGCACTGGTGTGTGTTTGATTTCCTAAGCCACACAGGAGAGCCGCAGGAAGGAGATACTGGCAGTCTAGCAGAGCCTGCGGGAGCATGACTGTGCCACCTCCACAGCTCCCAGAGCAAGCAGCCCTGGAGGAGGACAAGAAGGATGGAAATCTCTGGTGCTGCTTGGCTGGCAGGACCAGAGCTGTGAGAAGCTTGGAGCAGGTGCCATGGGAAGCAAGGAAAGGACAGCTGCCCCCAGTTGATGAGGTTTAGGGACGGTCATAGGAAGTAAATTAAATGAGCAGAGAATTCACACAGAGCCAAGAAAGGTGAATAAGGCCCCTGAATGGTATAATTACTTCTGAGGAATCACTGGTGAGGAAGGGCTTTGTTCTTATCTTGATGATGCCATTGCGACATGATTGATCTCACTGTAGAAGAAGAATGACACAAAGCATCTGCAGGCTCTGATGCAAATGAAGGTCACAAGCAGGCTTGAGACAAAGTGCAGTACAAAACCCTGCAGCCTCAACTTCTGGAAATCCTTGCAACTTCTTGCTGTGATTACCTTGTCAGCTAAAACACCATCAGATACAGCATGGATCTTTGCAGATCTAAGGAACTGGACTAACAATCAGGTGCTGCCTCACTTCCTTCTGGATAACCCACTGGATAGAACCAGAGGCACTGGGTGCTGCATCCACATAGAAAGCAGAGATGGAGTTATCTCTCCACAACTTCTCATTGGCAATATTCACTAGTCATAGTCAGACACTGCTGCAGTGCTGGAGAAGAAGGGTGAAAACTGTCATCAGCCTCTGCAGAGATCGTACCATCCATCAATTGTCCCCCTTCAGTACTGAACATTAAAAGGTGACTGGTCAGCAGAAAGCCTGGGGGAGTCCTGAGCACTTGCTGCAATGTGGAAGTATCTTGAGCAGAGGCTAGAACCCATCATTTCTTCAAAGGGAGCAACAGCAGGAATACAAGATTGCAAGAGCACAGCTAAAGGCACACGTGGCTGAAGCAGTGCATTGATCAGTGCCCAAGGCAAGCGGCAGCAGGAGGGGTGTTGCAAGGCAATCCCAGGCTGCAGCTGCCTGCTTTTGGAGCCCTGTTCACAGGGGGAAGGCACCCTAACAGCCAAGGGAGCTGTGCGGCAGGACGAGGCCACAGTGACTGCAGCTGCAGCAGAGAGAGGGCATGGGTGCAACAATTGCACTGCAAAATCCCCCAGCACCCGGCTCCAGATGGAGATGGGGATGGCCCAGGGCCTGTTTGAACCAGGCTCATCCACGCTGGAGAAGCACCCATACCCACTCCCTGACACTGAGCTAATGTACAGCCCCTAACTGAAATGGGTCCAGATGCAGCAAAGGCTCCACCAGCTATTGGGTACAGAGTGAGCAGTGCACCCGTATCTTGCAGTGCAGGGAGATCAGGCAGGCATACAGCCCCAGAGACACTTTCACATGGGAAGGGCCTTGGCAGCAACCATGCCATTTTGCATCACATCTGTGTCCTTCTGGGCCCTGGGGAGTACTGCAGTCAGGCAACAGCTGACACTTTGCCCCTCTGAGACAAGCAACTGTTTGCACTTCCAGTATCTGATCTGTTGCTGCAGGTGGACAAGCAGAAAGCCACTGATACTCAGACAAAAGGTGGTATTATTTACAGCTCCTGGTCTTGGCTGCTCGTTTGTGTGATTGCCAGAGTTAGTTTTAAAAGGCAAAATGCTAACAGCAGATTTAAAGGTCTGCAGCGATAAAAAGACAAATACTTGACACTTCTCTCCCAGGCAGCTGGTAGGACAAAGAACTGAAGCACTCGCCTCTTAAAATGCTTCCCTGTTGCTGCAACTGATGCTGTGTGGGCCATGCCTGAAGCCAGGAGGGCTGGGAGGCCATAGGGCAGCATGCAGTGTGGCTCCAGCAGCCACAGCTGAAGGTCTTTCCAAGCCTCTGGAACCGAGACCCAGTTGTGGTTTCAAGAGCTTTGTCCTGGACCTTTACCTTGTGCCTAGTCTTCAGCACACAAGCACCATTCCAACACCTCACACAGATCTTAGGCTAATTCAGGCTCCCCTTCCCTACCTGCTGCTGGTCAAGCCCCCTCCTCCTTTGGCAATCCAACTTCCCCAGTGTAACTGGAACATAATCAAGGATGTACGGACACAACCATCCACGCAAGCGGTTTCAAATCTTTTTAAACACTTTTATTTACAGTGCTAGTTGAAAACAATATATATATTTATATCTATTATCCTCATGATGTCTGTGCCATAGAAAACGCTGTGGCTATATTGCCTTTAATTTACAAAAAATGGTCACAAGAAAATCTGAAGGGAAAAAAAAAAACCCCAAACCAACAACATGGAAATCAACGTTTGGTCCCCAATTGTTTCTCGCAATTTGTTTTAAAAAAGCTTCCAAATTAAAAAAGTACACAGTTCAGATGAAATTCATATATAAAAACAACATTTTTCCTCTGAAAAACTCATGAGGGCCAGCTTGCTGTCATGTAAACTTGGAAAAAAAAAAAAAGCTTAAAATAAATTGTTTCCATGTGTGGTTTAATAGAACCGTTATTTGCTTGTAATATTCTTTGTCTCTCAGGGTTCAGTGGGAAAGCAGATGAAAGGTGGCTTAGGACTGGAAAACGCACCATGAGATCTGTGCCCACAGCCCCCTGCACTCAGGAAGGATCTGACAGCAGGTCTGTGGAACAGAAGCTGTCAAAACTCTGTCACTCTGGTGACAAAAAGAGGAGGGCACGTGGAAAGGGGAGCAGGGAAGCTTGCCACGCGAGGAGCTTGGCATTCAGGCCTGGCAAGGTTACTGCGCCCCAGGAAACGATGAGATCCTTGCAGGAAGAGGATCACCTGTAAGTGGGGCACGGCGGAAGGGATGTGGGGGGCTGGAATGATTTCAGCTGGGTGGGCTAGGTCTTTGGGTGAGAAGGAAACTGCTGTCTTCCCTGTTAGAGAGCATTTCTAATCTTTCCTCATCTGAGATTGTGTGAAGCCAGAGGCTAACAGACAGTGCAAGCACAGGCTGGAATGGAAGAGGAGATGGACGGAACATAGATGGGAGGGGAGGACTCAAGCTGAAGACCCATTTTCTGTTTTCTGTCTCTTTGGATCCACATCATCCTATGGAGGACACAGAGGAACATAAAGAAGTTACCATTAAACAGTCACCACACGAAGGCACGTAATTTCTCCACAGAATTCTTACTGCTGTTCCTCCCTTCCCATGGAAACCCACTCCCCTTTAAAGCATCCTTGAGTGCCTGACACAACTGTTAGGCTGATGATCACGGTTAAGATGCGGGCAGCTCCATTTGGAGGGATAGCTGCCAAGTTACTTTCAGGATGCGTCAGAAGCCCAGGCTCACACCACTTCAGACAGGCCCCGAGATCCACCCTCACAAGTCCATCTTGTCACAGGAAGTCACAGGTGACCCCTCCATCTCAAACACTCAGCACTGTGACCACTAGTGGAAGGCCCTGCATCCTACAAGGAGTCTACAGGGGTTTATTATTCTCTTGCTACATCAGATTTATTTACCCATCTGCTGCTGAAGCAATGAGCCCTGACTCCAGGGGCACCTACATGGATTTGGTCAGCACAACCTCATTCTTTCTCCCTGCCATTTCTCTCACACTATCACTCACCTCTTCCTCCTCTGCAGATCGTTTTTCTGCATGACCATCCTGCTCTTGCCCGTTCTCGTCTCCTTCTGAGCACAAGCAAGAGAGGAAACCACAGGTTAACTAAAGTAGCATTTACGGGGATGCAATCTCAGTCAAGAGGGCCCAGTGAAGGGATTTCCCTCCACGACCTTCCATTCTTCCAATACTGATTATTCCTACCTTCATCCTCATCACCACCTTCTTCTTCATCAACATCATCAGGATTCTCTTCCTCATCTTCTTCAGCTCCGTTTTCCTCATCCTGAATAAAACAAATTGGTCAGAGCAGAAACTGGCATTGGGACGACATTTCCCCATGTTCTTTGCTGCAAGTGCAGCAGCAGTCTCTGCAGCTCCAGCCACTTCAGGCTCCAGCCTCAGACGTGCATTGACACCTCTGACACTCAGACACCATTATTCCCATCATCCTAGCTGAAACCCTTTACAAAACCAACCCTTCCAGACCCTCCCCACCCATGTGAACCTCCTTGATTTCCGCAAGCTTACATCCCAACAAGCTGCTGCCATCCTATCCCAACATTTAGAACATCTCTCTGGTTACAGGATAATGACAGCCTGTGCTCATAGTACACCCGCTTCCAGATCCCTTCTTACCTTCAATCTGTGCATTTCCTAACTGTTCCTCCTCCACCTTCTTCATCTTACACTCCCCTTGCACTTTGAGATACTTCAGTGGGTGCAGGGCCACGTCTCCTGTGCCACCTTCTCCTAACTCCCATTTACTCTTGTCTCCGTTCTCTTCTTTGATCTTTTTTCCTTCTCACTGGGCCATACTGACTATGCTAAGTCCTTTAAGGCTCATTCTCCACAATTACCCTATAGCTTGCTCTTCATTTGCCCCTCTCCCTTACAAGCTCCCTTGGGCTGCCTTCTTTCTTAATCTGCTGTATTCCCTTCCTATTCATTACCCACAGTGAGCCAGGCTAACCACCTCCTATGAAGCTTCTGAATCTATCATAATGGCCTCACCTCTACTATCTCCTTCTTCTTGTCTTTGTGGACTGTTTTCTCGTCATGTTTTTCCTTCTTTTCTTTCATTTCCTATATGCGAGATGAACACAAAACCCAAACCATTCCGGCGGTCCGCGGCAAGAAAATAAAGGGATATTTAAACAAAGAAGGTTTAGAGGGGATGCAGAATAACGGTGAGAAAAAGGCCTTCAGCATTAAATCTGCCCGCCCGGACAAAGAGAAACCAGCGAGAATGCGTCAGAGCTCCTTCCAGACCACACACATGCGGAAAAGTCTTGACGAGTTTAATGGCTTTTAAAAGAGCCTCGTCCATAGGACCGAGCCGTTTCCGGCTCCCTCCCCCTCAAACCCCGCGCTTTGTGTCCATACAACTTTCCGCCCGTCCCGTGGCGGGGGGGGGGGGCAGAAAGTTAAACCGTTCGTGCCGTTAAACCGTTTGTGCTGTTAACCCGTCCGTGCTAACGGCTCTAACGCCTCCCGCCATGGCGGAACACCCGGCGGGGACATACGCCCCCCCCCGCTCTTTCCGAATCGAGCCGAGCAGAGACGAACGCAGCGCGCGCGTCTTCGGGCCAATGGGGGGCGGGAACGGGGCGGGGGGGCGCGAAGGCGCCCCCCCCGCCCAGTTCCCGCCCCCCATTGGCCGGGAGGTGCTGGGGCCTGCGAGCGCCCCCCGTAGGCCGGGCACCGCAGCCGCCGCTGTGAGGAGAGCGGGGCAAGTGCCCCCCGCATCCCGTCGGGCCCAGGTCGGGTACCGGAGAGGGGTAAGGGGGTATCTCGCTCACCTTAGCGCTCAGCTCCGCCGGCGTCTCCTCGACGCGTTTTTCCGACATCCTGGCTCGGGTATAGAAGGGAAGAGGCCGGTGGGAAATGTACGAAGGAGCCCCGCTAGGAAATAGGCGGGTTCGGGAGGGAAGGCGGTCAGCGGCGGGAACGCAAAGTCCCAGCGGTGCAGCGGTGGTGGTAGGCTCCTGTCCCAGGGGCAAAGTGCCAGGGTCTCCCGCGGTGCGGAGATACGCCGGGGAACGGGATTTATACAGCGCCCGGTGACGACGAGGGAAGGAGGGACCTGGGGAGGGAGGGGAGAGGGACTGGAAGCGGAGGAGGAGGAGGAGGGAGGGGACAGGGGAGAGGGACGGGCCTCGTCGCGGGGAGCGGGGCTGATAGAACAATGTGCTCTGGGCGCTTCTCAAGGGTCGGTGGCCGCCAGGCAGCGGGGATCACCTCAGACCCAGGAAAAGCGGCACCTCCCGGCCCATCAAGGCCAGGGGGCGCATGCACCAAAGCCCCCTTCCGCACGCTCCTCTTCCCGCCGAGCCGCGGTACCAGGGTAGACGAGCACTCTGCCCGCCGCCTCTGCAGCGCGGCAGGGGAGGCTGCCCCTACGGGCTCGGCCGGAGGGTGCCGGGGTGGGCGAGGAGCGGTGCTGCGGGGCCGTGTGGGAGGGCAGCGCTCACGCGTCCTCTTGCCTGGAATTTTCCACTCCAGTTGCTCCCCCGCCCTCTTCCCTCCCTCCCTCCCGCTGCAAGCGCTCCCGACGGCGGGGCTCCTCCCTCCCTCCCGCCCCGCGGCCAGGCCCGGCCCTCCGCTGGGCACCCATTGCGGGGGGGAGGAAGGGGGTGTTGCGGGGCTGTTTTTCCCGCGCTCGGAGAGAAAGGGGAGGGGACTTGGCGCGCGCGCGCCGACAAGGCAATGGTGCGAGGGGGGGGGTACCGAGACCGTCCCGAGTCCCCATATAAGGAGGGGCTCATGGGTTTGGCGCCTGATTGGGTTATTCAAATGAGCCGTCTGCCTGGCAACAGGTTTCCTATTGGCTGCCAGGGGTACGCTCGCTGGCGGCGGGGGAGGAGTGGGGGGGTGTTTGGTGCAGTGAGGAAGGACGGGCTGTTGGCACGTGGGGCGGTGGGAGGGTGCGCGGGGCACCGCTCGGCTCGGCTCGGTTCGGTTCGGCTCGGCTCGGGGCCGTCTCCCGTTGTGTGGGCGCTGCAGCTTCCGTCCGCAGGGGAGCGGTGCGGGGAGGCTTGAGAGGAGAGGGGCGTGTGTTGAGGCAACCGGGCAGCGTAAGGCGTCGGAGCTCTGTGCTTAAACCAGAGGCCCCTCGGTGTGCTGCGCCGCGGGGGCCCCCGTCTGTGAGCACCTTCCCGGCGCCGCAGCCGGTCCTCTGAGGCTCTTCGGCAGGGCAGCAGTCGGTGTGCAACACTGACCCCTGCAGCCTGCCGCAGAGCCCTGCCCGCCCGCCTTGGAAGCCGGGCTCTTGTCGCCCACGGCCTGCTGGAAGGGATCACCGCACAGCGCCGAGTAAGCAAAGGTCCTCTCTGCTGAACGGCAGGCTGTGTGTTGCAGCTGCGGGGATTTGTTGCTAACAGATGTTCTTAGAGCTGCGCTTCAGACCGTTGTTTATCCGTTTGAGCAGACTGGGATGACTAAAATACCTTTCCCAGAAGATTTATATTGTTCTGCTCTTAGTCACAGGCACATAGGCTGAAACTGATGTTGCCTGTTGTGTACAGGGGGGTTGTACAAGGGGGTTGTGAAGTCTATTCCGCTATCATAGGCAAAATCTGCATGTGTTTGCAAGCCTATGTACAAAATCAGGCATGCACGCAACATGGGTGTCCCTGTCTGTGACAAGGGGGTTTGAACTGGATGATCTTTAAGGTCCCTGCCAATCCAAACTATTCTATAAGCACACATGGATGTACATTTGTACGCAGCTATTCTCACAGGTATAATGCAAGGTTATTAATCCGTCTGGCTGGAAAATAGGCAGAAACTCAACCTCTGTGCAAAGTCAGGATTTAGAGCTAGTGCTCGGAGTTCTATCGAATGTGTGTCAGTTTTAGCATTTAATAGAAGAAGCAATTGGTACTTGTGGAACCAGGTGGGCAGTAAGTACATATCTCCTGAAGGAAATCATGAAAGGCATTGGACAAGTTATAATCTGTGTGATGGGATGGTAGGAGATCACCACTTTGTCATAGAATCATAGAACCAGCTAGGTTGGAAAAGACCTTTAAGATCATCAAGCCCAACCATTCCCCCATCTGGTCTCCACAGCTACAGCTGCTTCTCTTGTAATCTGACTCATCGATGTTCTTAGCTACACACAATAGTAGTGTAGCCCTAAATACAGTAATACTGTATGCACAATAGTGTAGCTACACACAATAGGCATAGTTCCTGCCCCAAAGAAATTGTCATGTAACCCAGACACACAGATCTAGAGTAGTATCAGAATAATAAATCATGAAAATGCATGCATTAATTTCGTCTCTCTCCCCCACCCCCTGTTTTCACAAAGCCCCTCTGGCAATCTTCTCAGATCTAACTGCTATCAGCATTCAGGTTTAGTACAAGTACTCCTCTTTAATCCCTCTCTTCTACAAGAAAAAAGTCTTAATTTCTGGAGCTACAGCCAAAAATCTATGAAGTGGCCAGAAGTAGTTCCTCTCTGCTTCTGCTTGTCAGGAGCTGTGTGCTGCTACTGTTCCCTGATCTGGGGGGTTGTCCTTCACACACTCAAGTACTGAAAATGCTAAACTACACCAACAGGCATCCCTTGACAGAGACACCTTTGCATTAATGCACACACAGGCGTTGACACATCCTGGAAGGGAGAAAGGGAGGATTGATTGTGTTTGGTGATGTGGCTGTGCCCAAAGTTGCTGTTGGCACAGGTGGCACACCCACAGATGCAAACAGGCGAGCTCCTGCTGGTGGAAAGGGAGCAAAGGTGTTTCCAGCAGCCTGTGGGATGGAGCAGGGTCAGCTCTGCTATTTGCATGCTCCCTGTGGCCCCAGCGCTTGCAGGGTGCAGTCTCACATTTCCCCTTCCATGCTCCCCATCGTATTCTCTTGGCAGTTTTTACCTCATCTGTTGTTTCTCAGCTTTTCCTCCTACCTGTATTCTTAGCAGCAGCCTTCCTATAGCTCTCTGGCTTCTCTTTGTGACCTCCTTTATCCCATGTACAAAATTAATCTTGCTTCCCTACTTTCGTTTACCACATGTTTGATTTTACCCTGCATGCCTGTATCAACCGTGGTTTTCCTCTTAAATAAATGAAACTCTTCTTCATGCCTTGTGACATGCCCGTTTCTTCATCCTACCTCTTCTTGCTCTTCAGATCCAGAGGGTGAGACTTCCTTGGCTTCTAGGGTGCAGCTCCTTTGCGCATGCCCTGAGGGCATCCCTTAGCTGTCTCACCTAACTCTTCCATGTGTCTTCTGCTTCTCCATCCAACTTGTGCCACTCTGCATTTCATCTGCTGGATGGATTTGAAGCTTTTCTTGCCTCCCCTCTCCCATCTGTGTTTTCCCTTTGTTGCAAATACAAGTATACTTCTCATGCAGCCTGCAGATGCGGGTCCCTTTGCAGTATATTCAGTAATCTTGTCCTCAAGTTGCTTTGCCTGCTCAGCAGAATTTATTCCATCGTTTTGAGGGTCTTATGTCTTTAGACAAAACGAGGGAGGTGCAAGAGTTACATGATACATCATTGCTTGGAAAGCCTGTACAAGAGCATGAATGCAATTTCCTCTGTACAGTAAGTTAGAATTGTGCTGTGCTCGGTGTTTCTGCAGATGTGTGCAGCACACGTACCTATTTGTGTGTGGTACTTCTCTATTGAGGTGTATGTTAAGCTTGCATGTGTGTGTCTTCATACGTGAGCATATGTTTGCACATATGCCTGGGCTTTCATGTGTGCTATGTGTTTCTGTACTCCCAGCAGGTGCAGGGTGCAGGCACCTGGAAGAAAATACTTACACTTTTGGTTTTAATACCTTGCTAGCCTTGTCACTGTGTTCTGTTGGGGGAACAGGGCCTTTTTTCTGTTGAAGGCTGAACTAACTGAGCCATTTTTCTGAGCAAAAGCAAACCACAGTACTGGCTACTTCAAGAATTTTGTGAACTAACTCAAGAGCGTGGTTCCAAAACTCTTTCAAACTGCTGAACAACAAAAGAGCAGAAGGTTGTGTATTTGCATTAACTTTTCTTAGATTTACATAAATTCAGATACAGACAGTATCTATCATTTACAGTGAAGCTAGCAAAATCTCAGTGTGCAAAGGGAATGTGTTTGGATGCATTTATGTATTTATTATTGGATGCTGGAGAGGGACTCTTTGTCAAGGACTGTAGTGGTAAGACAAGGGGTGATGAGTTCAAACTGAAACAGGAGAAGTTCAGGTTAGATATAAGGAAGAAGTTCTTCACTATGAGGGTGCTGAGGCGCTGGAACAGGTTGCTCAGAGAAGCTGTGGCTGCCGCATCCCTGCCCAGGTTGGACAGAGCCTTGGGTGACATGGTTTAGTGTGAGGTGTCTCTGCCCATGGGAGTGGGTTGGAACTGGATGATCTTAAGGTCCTTTCCAACCCAAACCATTCTATTATGCTATGATTTAATCCACACTGTTCACCTTTGTGTCCTGTCTCTGTTAAAAATCCAGGCAGATGATCAGTTTTGTTGTTCTTTCATGATGCTGTATCCTGAAATCAAGAGGAAATACCCAAGAATTCAACCATTGACCAACTTTGCATTGGGAACTGGCTTCCTGAGAGACAACACATTGAAATAAGCACTGCAGTGGGCTGTGGTAGGTAACACAATGAGAGTAGGCAAGAAGAGTAGATGAGAGTGACGGGGGGTGACACCAGCCTGTCGGAAGACTGGGAACGGGGGGAGGTTTTCAGTCGTGATTTCTGTGAGCCTCTCTTTGCTAACACAGCACAGATGGGAGTTGTGTTTCTCACTCACAGTGTGGCAGATACACTTAACATGAGCAGTACATTCTAAAAGCAACCGCTGCCGTGTAGGACAAGCTGCAAGCACCACACACTGGCTCTGGCATCCTAGATGTGAAATGTCACATCTGAGGCTCAGATCGGAGCTGTCCTTTACTCGGGTGCCCTTCAGCTGAAGTCAGTTAGTTGTTGGGTGGGGATTACGTAAGAGGCACAGATGAAGGGAACCAATGAGGAAATGGCTGTGGGTAGCTCTGACTTCTGATAACGAGGATTTCTTTGTCTTACAGGCATCCACAGGGGCTCTGGAGCATTTGGATGCATTAAGAAGCTGTTTGTGTCTTGGCCAAAATGATGGGTCCCTGGAAGCAGCAGGTAACAAGGCACGATTTTTCAGCGTGCTGTTTATTTACCTTCACCACGTGATACTTGGTTTGCTTTTAAAATGCTTCCGCTGTGGCTGCCCTTTGGCTGACTGAGGGCGAGGGGGATGCTGGGGGAGGCTGCCTGCCAGAAGCCAGCAGTAGGCGGGAGAAGGTGGAGTTGAGGGCAGCGGCGCCATTCATCCCTCTTCCATTTTGCCCTTCACTCGCCTCCTCTGGGATGCTGAGCTCCTTCTTCCTCCCCTTCCCCCCATCCTCCACCGCTTCAGCACAACCCGAGCAGCTTGAAGGGGAACAGAGAGATGTAGTTAATGGCTTTTCTTCATGATGAAAACAGAAGCAGCCTAAATAGAGAATGTGACAGGGGAAAGATGAGAGTTTTTGCTTTTCATTCATCCCCCCCCCCCCGTGTTCTTTGTTATTCTCACCTAGCAAATGGCCAACCCCTCAGTGAACATTAGGCATAATGTGGTGACTACTATAGAGAAATATGCAAACAGCACAGTGACACAGCTTCAGTGTTCCTCAGAACCATGGGCTTCTCCCTGTTCCAGAGAAAGGTTGCACTTCCAACTCCTCCTTCACCCGGCTTTTGCCACGAGCACAACTCTTTGAAAGTGAAGTGCCCTCACAATTTGCTGAACTGGTGACACTACTGTTAGCACAGTCTTTGGTGACACAGGTTCAACAAGAGTAATGGCTGCAGAAACGTTCAGTGAGACACACAGCCTCAGCCCGCAGTCTGCTAAAGTCATCCCTTTGTGCCACAGGTCACTTACACAGGAGCAGCGTGAGGGACAGAGAAAGGATCTGCAAAGCAGTACTTTTCCCACACTGTTCTATTCCTCCCCTAGCTCTGTGTTTGGAAGGCAGCAATGCCTGACTTGGTATGTGGAAAAAACTGAGGGAGTCCTATCATCTCCAGGACATTCCAGGGGTGGGAGGATCACTGATACCTGGGGGACAGCAAGTCATTTTATCCCAGATGCTTACGTTCTTGTTCAAGCAGCTCTTTGCCTTTCTCTGAACGCTGCCACTTGAGGTCAGCTCCACACACTGTGAGCAAACACCAGGAGAGCCTCAGAGCAAAAGGAAAACACCCCAGCCAGGGAGGGCTTTCCAGACTGGAGGTCTCTGAAAGATGTTCTAGGTTGCAAAAGCAGTGCAGAGAGATTGAGGGAGAACTCTGTGTAACCTTCAGGGCTCACAGATCGATTCTGAGCTGGTGACAGGACAGCTTGGCACCTCACCTATGGACAGTCTTCCCAAGGAGCACTGCCCAAGAGGTCTGAGGTGGCACAGCCCATGCCCTGCACATAACATCTGTCTGACTCACATGATCCTGCCCCACTGTGCCATCCACAGCTTCCATGGTGTGGATGTCAGTTGCAGCCTGTGAAGGATGCACTTATTAAATGCAGTGAGGGACATCTGAAGGGTCTTACGCATGCACACAGGGCTCCAGTGGGAGGTCTTCCTGGACATTAAGCAGTTTTGAGACCTGCTATAGCAAGAAGTATTGCCAAGTCCCCTGTGCGTTCCACCACATGATACGTGCTACCGGGTCACGTTCCTCTGTCAGACTCTGAAATCCAAGGACGTGGCTTCTGCCACAACTCCGGAGTTCGATTTCTCAACCATGTTCTGCAGCCTCTGGCATGGGTTTAGCCTGCCCCCTGCACACAGCAGGGCAGATTCAGCACTCAATCCCACTTAGGGAAGAGTGCCCTGGTCTCAAGAAGCCCCAAGCCAGCCCATTCTCTTCCTTTCAATCCAGTGGAGCCAGCGGTAGCTGAAGGCAACCAGCATTCCCCAGGAATGGTGACAGAGGCTGTCAGCCCACTGATGCATGGTGACTCCCTGAGCACACACAGAGTCCCTGTGCTTTGTCTGTGGCTCTGGCGGCTACTCAGGGGCAGTGACAACCCACTGCCAGTTTACCACAGCCCCAGCAGCACTGCCACGTCCTCCGTGGTGTCCCCTGCCTCGTGAGCATGGCAGAGGCACCCATGGCCACGCTCCCTCTCGTTCCGGCCCTCCAAGCACTCTCCTCGCCCTTATCGAGGTGGGAGGTTGGCAAGCACCCCCGGTGCCCGTCCACCACCGCCTTTGCTCGAGGAACAATAGCCCCTTGTCACTGGGGCATGTTTTCACTCGCTGCCAGCTGCAGCTCGCTCCCGGACCCACCAGGCACTGCCGGGCCGGCTGGCGGTACCGGCACCTCCCCAGCGGTGAGGCCTGCTGAGGGAGCCTCCGCCCGGCCTGCGCCCGCTGAGGCCCGGGGCTGAGGGGCGGCGGACCGCGGGTCTCTCCGGGCGCCAGGGGGCGCTCTACAGAGCAGCCCTTCCGCCCCCCCTCCCACTCGGTGATTGCGTCGCCGCCGGGTCTGTGGCGCATGCGTGCTGGGAGCCGGCTGGCCGGGCGGGGCGGTAGCGGTGAATGCGGGCCTGGGCCGCGATGGGCGCAGAGGAGTGATCGGTCTGCGGGTGTCTTCCTGCCGCGGACGGGGAAGCGCTGTACCCGCAGCTCGGCACCCACTGGTGCGCCGGCAGGCAGGGCACGGGGGCGGGGCTGGGGGCGCGGCCTGGGCCCGGTGCCGGGAGGGCCACGGGGGGTGGGTCGCGGCCTACGGCGCCGCGGTGGAAGCTCTGCCATCACCTGCCCGGCCTGGGGGGAGGCGGAGGCGTTGCGCGGGAGGACCGGCTCCGCTGCTCCTCCCCTCCCCGCCCTCCGCCTTCCGCCTCGGTTGTGTGTTCACCCTCTCTCCCCTCCGCAGAGGCCGCCTCCGACCGAGGGAAGCATGTTCCGGCTGATGAGGGAAGGCGAGCCGGAGGACCCCATGTTTGCCATGTGAGTCGAACTGGGCACCCGCTGGGGTGGAGGGAAGGAGGCTGCGGCCCTAGGGTGGTGGGGCTGGGGGGGGGGGCAGGTGTGCTGCCCTCCCGTCTAAGCGGTGGGCACAGGGCCTTCCTTCCGGGCGGGTGTAATGCCGCAGCGCAGCAGCTGCGGGCTGGCTGCAGGGAAACAAACACACATGACCGCTGCGAAAGGGGCAGCGCAGGGAATAACCTGGTTCGTCTTGGTCTGGTTTCTGTAATACTAGAGCATGGTCTGGGAGGAAGGCGTGATTAAATAAAGTAGGCCAAAAGGCACTGCAACTGTCTGAGGGAGAGAGGGCTGGACTACCTGATCCTCTTCTTAGCGTAAGGATTATTGTGCTTTCTTACGCCAGGTAGGATTTCAGTTCAGATAGATAATAAAATCTACTGTTCCATCCAGTGTTTGTTGCTGGTCTGCACAGGGCATCATTAATGGATTTGGAGAAGAGCGCTAAAGCAGTTGTCAAGTTGTAAGGAACTAAGTTAAGACAGCCAGCGGTTTGAATTACAAGGCTTCAAATCTAATGAAGGTCCCAAGAACTCTTCCTGGGATTCCTTTTACTCACTGTTTTTGTTGCTGTCCACAGTCCAGAAATTGGATGCTATTGATAAATTTTGGCAGTGAAACTAAGTTGGCAGTCTCTGCCAAAGTGGATAAGGAATAGGCTGTAACACAGTAAGAATTTGATTATGTTAAGCATTGCACTACTACTAGAAATGTAGTGGAATTAATATATGTAGAAAAACAAAGTCTGAGGTTTGCTTTTAAAATTGGTAATAAGCAAGAATTTTATCAGCTGTAAGCACGTTAGCAGGAAAGGAAACCTTGATGCCCCAGTTAGTCACAGAATGACTATGTATTCTCATTGATGTGGCAGGAATGAGTCTGACTTTTATTATGGGAAGCATTTCCAGTACAGACAGAAAAGTAATGGTTTATAGTAGGCACTTTTGTGATCTCAGGAGTATTCTATGCTGCTGAGTTTACTTGCACTCAAGAGGGATGAGTGCAAAGCTGTAAGATCCACATGGAAATGCTGTGGTATTTCCCAAACTGTGGCGACTGTATTCTGTGACCATTTGTCCTTATTCTCCTTTTTCTCTCCTTGACCTTCCAGCATGTGAATGTGTAAAGCCTTCAAAGTGAAGGCTGCAAAGGAAGCAAAACCAGTTAGGGACCCCAGTTATTTTTCCCATTCCCTCTCAAATTTGAAAAAACCTCTACGTGGTCTCAATCTCTTGCCAGGTATACACATAACGTTGTAGGACAGTAGCAGATAAAGGTTATTTGGGACAGAGAGAGGTTACACAGTGTCAGTCCATACAGCCCCTTACGGAGGTTTCAGTCTTGTGCTTGAGCATGTTTATTTGCATGTATGTGGAAGGGTAAGAGGGCAGTATCTAGGGTCACATACTCTCTGGTCCAGTCAGTGTAGTCATCTCTTTGCAACCAAAAGGGTCTTTGTGCACCTCCCTGCAAAATGAAGAACTGCAGGGTTTGGTTGTGTCACAAATCTGTTAACGTAAAGGGGTTTGATGGCACAAGAGGAAATAAATATGAAATGGTGGTGGTATGTGCAGGTCTGAGAAGTGACTTTCATTTGTTAGAGCAGTGAGGTTCTGGAATGGCCTCAGCCATACTCGGCCCTAAAGCGTTAGTGGGAGCAGAACACCAAACTACTCTGAACAGTTAGTGCCTGAGAGGGATTCTGTGGTGCAGTATCTTCTATTTCAATAAATAAATGGGATCCAGAAGTCCCTTCCAGCACTAAGTATCACCATAAGCAACACTGAGTTCTTGGGGTTCTGGATTGTCAGCTTGGAAAGGAATGTACACTTCCATAATGCAGGGCTTTTGTCTTCTGTCGTCCCTTCCTCACCATTGTTCTCTCCACCTCTCTGAAAGGGATCCTTTTGCCATCCACCGGCAGCACATGAACCGCATGCTCTCGGGAAGCTTCGGCTTCGGCCCACTCCTTGGCATCACTGATGGCACCACCCCTGGGGCTCGCCAGCCTGGTCGGAGGATGCAGGTAAAAGAGGTGCTCAGCACAGGGCAGGATTTGTTAAACTCCCTTGTTACCTTCTACCTTTCACCCTTACTGGGTTGGGCACACCCTTGCCTTCATATGGATGGTGGGCACAGAACTGATCTCTCTAAAACTGTTGTCCTTTTCTTTATTCCACATTAATACATTAAACACAACTGCATTCTAGATTGAATGGGAGGAGGAGAAGAAATTGTTTCTCTGGGACATAAATTTCTTTTACTTATATTGTTTTAGGAGCATCACCTTCTGTCTCGTTTGTTAGAGATAATATGGTTTGAACTGCTGTGACTCTGCTATCAAGTCTTCCTTGATCTGTTTGTGGGGCCTGATCATTTCTAGTTGTGTTTCTGAGAAGGATGAGGGTGTTCTGAGGAAAATCTGTTGTTTGGCTGTTGCAAAGTCATTCTCTGTTCTGTTTTTCTGTTGTCCTGGCAGGCAGGAGCTGTTTCACCCTTTGGGATGCTCGGCATGGTAAGGTCTCTTGTTTTTTTGGGTCACATTAGACGCTTTCCAAATTAGTGGTTCCATACTGAGATTCATCAGCTCTGTGTGCAGCTGGTGCTAAAATGTACCCATCTGTGAGCAAGACCATCCATCCTAAGTGGTAGTGAGGGTGGGAAGGTGTGAATAGACCAGAATGAGCTCTAGATTTATAGTAAACAGAATACAGAAGAGGGTATTGAACTGGAACTGGAGGCAGCCGGTCTCACTTGGATCTCTCTCATTGAGTTGCTGTGTGACTTCAGGCCTTTCTCTTGTTTCCCTTCTAATGTTTTAATCTAGTTCATGCACTGTTTTAGAGAAGAGGTTCTAATGCTGTTTGTTCCAGGAGATTGTATTTGCACCTTGACCAGAAAAGAGCCCTAAAGCTGTTATAGCACAATATTTCATAGGGATTGGGACAGTTAATATCTGAGAAGAGCAGATAGTCTCTTAATAACCTCATATGTCTAAAAGAAGCTCTGGATCTGTTTGGAGGTAATGGAGGAGCTGTGATGACATGAGGAAGAGACTTGGCCATTAGTAGGCAGAGGGGATCGTTGAACCTCCTTTGTCAGCGATGGCAGAAGAGGAAGCCTGCAGAATACTTCAGGTGAACGGGACTGGAATGAGAATGGCTGTGTGTCTTTGAGGACACCGTGCTTGGGGCACACTGATCTCCGTCATCTACTGAAATAATACACTGGAAATAGGTTATTCCAGATCCAGCAACATCGGCTGCCTCGCTCTGCAGGATTGCCTCAGTGAAAGAGACTGAGCGTCCTGGCATTACTGTAGCTCAGGAAAGGATTAATAAGGATACAAACAGATAGACTTCAAAGGGTAATAGCATTGCATGTGAGTGCTGCTTTGCTGAAAAAGAGAACAAGAGGCTACTGGAGGAAACAAAAAAATCAGCAAGCTGAAAGTGACATAGCAATTTTGTTTACATATTGCACAAGTAACCTGTGAGACCTGCTGGCCCGGTAGATTGCTGCAGCCTTTAGGTTTGCAAGATTAAAAAGTCAGATGTTTGTAGGGAAAAGAAGAAAACTTGTTATTATGTTAGGAAAAAATACAACCAATGGAAACTTCCTTGTGGTTTAAGAGTTGACAGCGATGAGGTGAAAACATCGTTGAGGGTGACTGTCCTATGGTTAAGGCCACTGTTAGTGCACATCCTGAGATTTCTGCTCTTAGCTTTGTGGAGTGCCTGGACTCAGCATAAGGAGTCAGGCTTGAACTAAATGAACACCCCTTGCTGTATCCAGATATCTGGAGAGCCAGAACACATGGACAATGCAACCTGAGGGAACAGAAACAGAAAAAAGAAAAGGGTTTTTTTTCTTCACTACTGAAAAAAAGGGAAAATAATAAGGTTTTCCTACTTAGGCAGCAGTTTCTTGTCCCTTGCAGATAGTTTGTTGTTCTTTCCTCCTGTATCATTCCAAAGTGACTTCATATGTTCTTGTGTTCTCTTTTAACAGGCAGGTGGCTTTATAGATATGTTTGGGATGATGAACGACATGATTGGAAACATGGTAAGAACCCTCCATAAATAAGTTTGTATTGAGAGGAGTACTGAGAATGCTCCTGTTATCCCTTTAATGTCTCCCATCTTCCTGTGCTGCTTTGATATGGGCTGTGCTCAAGCTGCCAAGGTGGCAGAGGCTCTAACCCTTCTGTTGTGACCAGGATTCAGTGGTAGGGAGCTTGTTCCTGAGGTGTACCCTCTGAGTGCAGAGAGATGGCTGAGGAAGGAAGTGTGGGGGTAGACTCTTTTAGCAAGAAACAAGAGTTAATTTAAAGGTAGATGTGTTCTCCAAAAAGTTGGACCCGTGTGATTTATA